TCTGCTTCTACAGCTGAACTCTGAGTTCCCAATTACCTTCTGCCTACGCAACACTGACTAGGCACAAGCTTAGTACACTACCATGCAGCAGATATCTCAGAAATTAGTGAAGTCCAGTTGTAACCATGGACACTGGAGGCGGAAGGACAGGTTTGTTTTGTTCGGTTGCCCAAAATCTCATCAGCATTTCAGCTGAAATTTGAAAGGTTCAAAAGGGAGGGAAAATGGAACAAATACAAAGTAGGATACGTTTAAAAAATGAGGCAGGTGGTGTATTACATACGCTCAACAAGGCCGTCAGCTTTAATTTCTCTGTGTCTTGTGGTCATCACCTGTAGAAGCATTAACTCAAGAGTGCAGTCACAGCCCTTTACCAGCAACTTTGTACGGCCTGGAGCCCACACCCACCCATGCCAGCTTGGTACAAGGCAGGTTTTGCTAGCCGACTACCAGAACACACCCCTTTGTTCCAGAAGGACAACAGCAGAGCGGTGCCGCAAACTGCGTTTGACAGATGGCGTTATTTTACTCTGCAGCAGATCAGCCAGTAAATGGCACCCTTTAGGTCTGCGTACAACAGTCAGGGGTTTATATACTACAAGCAGCTCCAGCTCTATACACATGATTAAAGCCTGGTATATTAGGTGGTTTGGATCTGAAGCAGAGATTAATATTGTTACTCAGTATACTGGCACCTGCTTGTCGTGATGGGGAGAGCAAATTAAGGGAGCTCAGCTGTTGGGCCCACTGGAAACTGTCCTCATATCCCAACTAAAGCCTCCCACTCAATACGCTGGCTACAAGCAAAGCAGCTGAGAGGTCTTGTTTTATTAGCACTGTAGAGAGCTTAGATACACAATCTTTGCATCCACCATTTGGCACATTCAGATGTCGTCAAAAACAATCCCAGCCCGCCCACTTTCCAATAGCAACAGTACTCTGGAGTACAGAACAGCAGCTGCTGTCAGAGTTGGCGTTAAACACACTGGCGTCCCTGGTGTCACAGGCTCCACTTAAAGGACTGGGGCCTCTTTGCTGCCCCCCAGGGAAGGATAAGAGCCTCGAAATACAGACTCTGGAGAACAAACCCAGCCTTTATCTCAAAATAGGCAGGACACGTGTCAACTGCACGGCTCCAGGAGAATGGGTTGTGTGCAATTAGGGTGGAAGAGGTAGGAATTGGTGGCCTTGCCCAGCCAGGACTAATGCAAGCCCTGAGCAGCTGCAGCATCAGATCGGACACTTTGACCTACGTGGGCAACCACTACAGCAGAGGCAGCACAACTACTGCACCCACCCAAACCCTCCGCTTTTTTTTTTTTTTTTAGCATGGAGAGGACCGGCTAGAAATTCAGGCCCCAATCCCAGTGAAATAATCCCACTGTGGTTGTTGTTTAGGAGAGACCTGGAAATGTTATCACTGAGCCCCATGCCAGGGAAGCTTCTGGTTATGTCTTCCCCCAAGTTTTGAGTCACAGCAGGAAGACTGAAGAAGCCTCCAATTTGTCACCAAAGTAGGATGGTTTCAGAGAATGAGGCCTGTCACCTCATTGCCTAGGAAAACCCCTCAGCGTATATCCAGTACGTGATACAGGTTTACAAGCCAAGGTCAGAGGACCCAACAAGGAAGTTGAGAGTTTAAGGTACCAGTTTCCCAAAAGAGAAATGGAACCTGCATATAATACCAACTCAGTTCCATTCCACAAACTACCATTTCCCCACTTGAGGCACATGAGTCAGACTTGCAGCCCAGCAAAACTCCATTACGGACTATTTAACCGTACAATAATTCCCCCACTGAGTGGGAAGCAACCAGTCCCAGAGTCCATGGCTGTGTCCCTCACAGCTTGTTTAACAAGAGCACTGCAGGGTCCAGATGCAGGGTCGCTTCTAACATAGGAGAAGCGGTGAAGATGCAGCTGGAATAGCCGTTAAGTTTTTTGCTTTTTAGTTTGCTTTTTTATTTGCTTTTTAAATTATTATTACCAGTGTCTGGTACTTGGCCCGCTTGCCTGGGCCAATACTTATGCTTTTCCAGGGATGAATTTCAACTGTGGACCGAGAAAAACATGGTTCAAGACTTTTAGCACATGATAATAGCAAGAAATCATTCCGAGATTCAATATGGCAAAAAAAAAAAAAAAAGGAACACAAAACGGTGTGAAAAGAGCTCAGCTAGTGTCTAGTTTAGTTGCGGACTGCTGCAGATACCAGACAGGGCAAGGAACCTCTCATTGCAAGGACACATAATTTCAGTGCCATACTGTAAAGAAGGACCAAGCAGCTTAACGATCAGTGAAGGGTCAAGCTCATCCTAATGTCAGATTAACCGGGGGGACAGGGACGAGGGGGACACACCAGTCAAACAATAACAAACGGATTTCAAAGATAAACACAGTGAATAATCCCAGGCCTATTAATGGTCAGCAGTTCATTCATCGAGGGCAAAAGCTGACAAGCCAGAGTAAAAACTGCTCAGGAAAACTGACGGAAGCAGCTGAAGGGCTGGTGAGCATCATCTTAAGGGAGCCATTCTGCCCCAAGCAGAAAGGGATTACACAGAACCCAAGAAAGGACCCATAACAGTTTACGATGGCCCGATATCTGCAGCAGTAGAAATAGACTTTAAGTACAGAAATGTCCTGACAGGTTGCATATTGGATCCCTACTGATCTGTCGCTGAGCAAAGTCTTCACAGGATCAGTGCCTCAGACATTAACCAATGACAGCCCCGCAAGGGGCGCATCCCTCGCTGCTGTGGCACCCCAGCCTGTTTCCATCAGACCCTGCTGGAGGCTTGCGGCACAAGCCCCCCGCGGTGCCAGTCTGGAGTGGCTCCACCCTCGGTCACAAACCCAGAGGCTGCCGACCCAGCCTCGTCCCACTGCGTGTCACATCAGCCAACGCGCCTTTGGGAACTGGCTGTTCGAGAGGCTGGCATGCAGGGCGGGGGGCAGCCCGTGGTTCCCCCAGCATTAAGGTAACTCAGCACACATTTAGACACAGATTTGCTTTCACAAAGAACTGGTGGAAACTTGGGTGCATGGATTCATTTACCTTTGCGAGACCATTCTGTGAGAGGAGAGCACACAAGAGAGACAGAGTCTCTTTATCATCAACTTTTGCTTAGCAACCTGGAATTTAAACGGTGGATTGAGAAAGAATTGGCAGAGATCAAGCAGCAGCAGCAGCAACAAAAAAAGAGAGAGATCATTCTGGGAGTTCGTTTTGTGGGCTTCGGCATCTAAGGTCTAGTTCTGGCAGGCTGACGCAGCCCAGGAGGTTGCAATCTGGAGATGGGTATCAGGCTCCAAAGTTTAGGAGTGCACCTCGAGAGGTTTTACAAAATGCAGCGCCTGCCTCAGAAGTGGCTGTCTGAATCAGCAAGAGTCAACTCTGCCTTCGTCAAGCAAGGCAATATTACAAAACATACAGGCAACAATCTAGTGTTGAATGGAGCTTACAGTTCGGTCCTTGCACCTACCCGGCAGGAGCCTTAGCTGCACCATGGAGTTGCAGTTTTGACACTCATTGTATTATTTTTGAACCTTCTTCGTTAGAACCAATTGCCTGTAAATCGGTCAGATGGTAATAAGAGAGCGGTTTGTGCATTTGCTTTTTTGTTTTGTTTCATTTGCATTGCACTGACACAAAGACAACAGCACACTGAGCTATGCAGAGAGCCTAACCCAAGCCCTTGGCACCCGCCTGCTGAGTGAGGGCCCCTTCAAATATTATGTACATGCAACACAAGAAGCACCTTCCAACAAAGGAAGTACGAGAATTGTGTAGGTTGTCACGTGGGACCGTCTACTTACAGGTTTCACTGTTTCCTGTACACAACTGAACGGTGCTCCACAGAGGAAACCCATGATATTTGAAGTAGCCCTGAGACACAGGAAGGGGATGGCGTATGCTTGTCTTGGAGACAGATACTTAGCATCGGCCTAATTCTGGAACCTGAATCCAAGTCACAGCAGAGTCTAATTCAAAGTCCTGCCTCCCCCCCCCCCGGAACCCCCCCCCCCCCAGCAATATAAGCCAAATCCTGTTTAATGGATAGCCTTACTGGGCAAGTCAGCATGATGTGCCCCTTTAGTCAGAGACACAACCAGGAATTAAAGGCTACACAAAGGGTTCCAGAGGGTTCTACAGCCACAGCTTTATCTGCTAATTCCGGCCATGACCAAAGAGTGGGGACTACTGCTACTTAATGCTACCATACGGCATACGAGAACCGGGTTTCTGGAAAGAACTCCTTGCATCTCACTGGAAGCATTTTTATTGCATTGTTTTGGTATGAAAGAACTAGCTTCACAACAAGCCTGGTTTTTCTTTAAAAAAAATCAGTTTTACTATGTCATACAATCACCTTTATTTTATGTTACCAAAAGCCTCCAGACCTGGTCATTCTGGATCCAGGTTTTCTTTCTAGAACTGTTGTAAATTGAGAACAATGTTGAGTCTGCTTTTAATGCCGTGCTCCAAGCAATATTTCTACAACAGGAGGCATTTATTGCTCCACCTATGGAGCAGAGGTCCATCAGTGGCTATTAGCCACAAGGTACAGATAGGAACTCTCAGTCTGGGGCAAGGGATGCTCTGTATTCTTGGAGCTTGGGGGGGGGGGCGGCAACAGTGGGAGGGCTTCTAGTGTCCTGGCCCCTCTGCTGGACCTCCTGATGGCCCCTAGTATTTTTGCCACTGTGTGACAGAGTGGTGGACTGGATGGGCCCATTGGCCTGATCCAACATTGACTTCTCTTATATTCTTAACTACATCAGGTACTTGCCTTCCCGAAAAGTTCATTTGTTGTGAGCATGGATTCCACTGCACTGAAGTGTGACAGAAGCGTATGTGCCCTCCTTTTGCTAGGTTATCCGTGCTTCCCTTTAACCAACTGACCTCCCCCAACTCAGGACAGGAGCTAAGACTCAAGGCTCTCTCCAAGACCAGCATATCTAGCACAAGGGTGCAGTCCATTAGCAGTTTTCACACCCCTCCCAGCAACTGGGCGTTAAAAGGGCTACCAATCTTTAGGCATAGTCATCCTCATTCACATAGCTTGAACATCTGGAGGATTAACAGAGAAGATCACACTGGGAGTTGAAGGCAACAATCCAGAGAAGTGGGCTGGCGCCTTCCCACCCTCGCCCCCAGAGAGGGGGCCAAAGCTCTCACTCCCCACTGCGCTGGGGCAGAGCTGTGTCCTTAGAAGCAAACAGCAAGCCAAGACCTAAGGAACGGGATGGCCTGCACGACAGAAATATTTTTTTGTCTCCCCCAATTCTATTCCTCTCTGGATCCAACCAGAGAGAGAATAAAAGATGGGTTAGATCCTTACCAGAAACCAAATTACATTTTAGAGTGGTTTCAAATGGGCTTCGTAAAAAGACTTAGTCCAACTGAATGGAGGGAACCCCAAGAAAACAACACACATTAGGCAGATACCTACCACAGGTCACTTTGGTGGGCGTTTGGACTTCCTGCTTTGGAGCAGAAGCTGCTTTGGCTCCCCGCCGCCTACGGGGAGGAGCAGCCTTTGCTCGGCCTCTGCTTACTCGCTTCCTTTTGCTAGAGTTGGAGCCTAAAGAGAGACAAAGAGGTCACCAGAAATTATTGAACCTGTTCAAAATCAAAATTCCCACATAGGTGACACTGCCTAACCCCAAATTCCTCAAATACAGATATAATGTGAACCTTCTACAATTCCTGCCACTGGAATCTGAAATATGATTTAAAAAATCCAGTAAAAATCTGTTAAGGTCACTGCAGTGCAGTACAGACAGAAACCAAAGAGAAAATCGCTGGAGAGGATGTGTCAGTATAATACAGTACTCCCAATGACAACAAGTGGCTTAAAATGAGAACAGGATGAAAATGCATCACTTCAAGTTACGCAGTTTACACACCTGTCTCCCACTGATCATGCTGAGTGTCTGCAGAGGCTGTGTTGAGACAGTTGTCCACCTGTTGGTCTGATGACATGACAGATGGTCCATAGGTATACCTCTCAGGAGAAACTAAAACAAAAGATGAAAGTCAAACAAAGTAGCAGCTACTGTAATTAACAACTATAGGCTGCGGTCACACGGAGCATTAGCCATGCTACAGAGATGGAAGATAGGTGGATTTTCCGGGCGCGATCACACCGCAACATCTGGGAAGCGTAGAGCTCCCGTGGCGAACCTGAGGCTTCCCGCCGAAAATGCGGAGTTAAAAACTAGTACCTCCGAGGTACTAGTTTCCGGAAACCACGGGGCAAGGGCTGGCGTCTGATCGCGTTTCCGGTGGTGGCATCCGGCGCCCACCCATGTCCCTTCACAAACAGGTCCCCCCCCCCAAGTCTCCACAAGATGGGCACAAGGACCCAACGGCGCATGCGCACAAAGAGAAAAGCGAAAGTGCCGTTTCGGCTTAAAAACAAATAAATGACCCCATTTGTAACGGCAGCGGCGCCTAGCCATTGCTGGTGTGATCGCGCCACGCTGCTTCTTTGCCACGCTGCAGGATCGTCATGTGATTGCCACCCTTGTTTACCCGCCGGCGCCGAGGGAAGGACCCGTGGTGTGCCACCAGCGCGTCTGATCACGGATCAAACTGTCCCGGGGCAATTAGCCACGCCTCCCCCCCGCGATATCCGGCCCGTGTGACCTGGGCCATTGTTGGACAAAGAAAAAATATCAGCCTACTGAACCAGGCTGGATAACAGCCGTTTAATCTAGTTCATTTTTATTCTATCTTTCCTAGAAAGAAGTGAGGATGTTATAAATGGCTCCACCTTCTTTCTAACCTTACATCTCTGTAACATAGGTGGACAAGGGTGACTGGCCCATGGTCATCTGGCATGTCCCATGGCAGAGTACAGGATATGAATGTGGGTCTGCCAGATCCTAGATCATTAGTGCTCAGGCTGCGATTCCAGAGTAGGTCACAGCTGCAGGTGTGCTGGAAGTCTGATGACAGGGTAAACTCTGAATCCCTCTCCTTCCAGCCATGGGAAAGGAGAAAAGAGAGTGAAGCTTCCACAATCACCCTTCAATCCCTGCCTTTGACCTACACCCCTATTCAATCTCAAACTATTGCTGCTCTTGGTCACCAGCAGTACAAGATGGCATGGGTGTAGCCTATGCCCACTTCCTTCTGGACTTCTAACAACGGGGAGACCCAACAAGCAGAATAACTTTAGATGTGTAAGTGGCTTTTAAAAATTTGAAAAATTCTCTCCAAGTCTGAAGTATCTATTTTCACCCAGTATTCTGAGATATGGAATGACAGACGTCCCTCATATCCCAGTCCAGAATCCCTTTTCCTACTAGTGCTTGGCAAAACAGCTCGACTGCAAGCCAAGAGTAAAACGAAATACTCCCCCCAAATCTATATTCAGTCATAAAAAACCCCTCTTCCCGCTATTATTCATAAGAGTGCTTACAAGACAAGTCCAAGAGTCCAGTACCTGTACGCTGCCTTTTCATGGTGACATATGGCAGCAGATCATGTCTCGTCAGCACCCTCAGGAGCTGCAGCAGCTGTGTGAAGTTGGTTTCGTCACATTTCCCTCTCCTTTCCAGCTCCAGAAGTAGCTCAACACCACTCTTGGGCCGTTGTCTATTGAAAGCAATCTCTAGATTGCCATCCGTCTTGCTCGACTTACACCCACACTGACTCCTCCTCTTCCAGTTCTCTAGCACAGGTGAGGTGACTTCAACACCACCTTCCACCGCTGCTGCCACAGCCCAAAGGGCAGGGTCCAGTGGGTGGGTCCAAGGCTGGGTCTCGTCCAAGAGGAACGAGAGCACATCTACGTCGTTCTCCGTGAGCTGGGAACCGATCACCTCAAACATGCGGTGCAGCGAAACCATCCCATAGTACTCTAAGCATTCTTCCTCCTCCCACATGTGGTTAAAGAGTGACCTCCTCATCTCAGCCATATGGAGATGCTAACCCTAAAAGGAAGCTAATGCTATGAACTACAGGGATAGATGTGTGATGCTTTGAACACTGAGGGAGAAGGAAGAGGCGAGTCTCAAAGACTGCGCTATGTGTTAGAGCCTTTTTTTAAAAGAAAAGCAGATTCAGGGCCTTGAGGAAGGATTCTTTTTGGTTTCACAGTGCTGAAGACACACCTACGAAAACAGAAAGGGGAACTTATTAAACTGAGTTCCAGTCACACCCAATCTGACAATCCTCTGCAACAGGTCAGCAACCTCACAAATCTGCGCAGAAGAGTGAAAGAGGCTAAAAGAAAACCCCTTTGCCTTCCAGTGCTGCTTCAATCCCTCTGCATTCCAGCTGCTGGAAAACAAACCTAAGAAATATCTTTATAATATAGATATACGCAGAATGGAGAGGAGAATGACATAAGGTGCTTTCTTCCCTACTGGGAATAAAACAAAAATTAAATAAGGCTATGTGACACACACATCCATGTTTTATTTTTATCTTATTCATTTCTACACTGCCTGTCTTCCCAGTAGGGAAACAAACACCTTATGTCATTCTTTTCTCTTCCGTTTTATCCTTACAATAACCCAGTTATAAATGTGCCCAATTCCCTTTTAAAGACAGTCTGGCATAGTGGTTAGGAGCACGGACTCTGATCCGGGAGAACCGGGTTTAATTCCCCACACCTCCACATGCAGCCGCTGGTGTGACCTTGGGTCATTCACAAGTTCTTTCAGAGCTGTTCCCGCAAGAGCAGTTCTTGAGGGAGCTCTCCCAGCCCCACCTACCTTGCAAGGTGTCTGTTGTGGGGAAGGGAAAGGAGATTGTAAGGGGCTCTGAGACTCCTTCGGGTAGTGAAGAGCGGGGTATAAATCCAATCTCTTCTCTACAGCCCAGTGTGGTGGGTTAGCCGAAGAGCGCGCGTGTGACTGGCTCAAGGTCAACCGGCCACCTTCCACCGGCACGAAGGGGGATTTTAACCTGGGCCGCTCCCAGAGCCCAGCCTGGCACTCTTCAACCCAACACCACACCGGCTCTCCCGTGTAACACACATTACGTAACACATATTCGACTCCTTCCTTACTTGGGCCGAGAAACGCCGCCTAGCTGCGGACCCCAGCGCGCCGTACAAGGCGTCGACCGGCCGCCAGACCACATCGGCGGCAGTAGCCGCCGGAGCCTCAGTCAAGGGCATGCGCCGCTCGGTCAAGGTACGGACAGGCCCGCCCCCGTCCTCGCGCGGCCCCCGCCACGCCTCCCTCTCCTCCCCCTGCTGTCGTCACAGTGCGAGGCCCCGCCCCCTGCGCGCGTCGCCTCCCTGGCTCCGCCCACATCCTGTGTTCTCCCC